CCCCCCCCCCCCCCCCCCCCCCCCCCCCCCCACCAAGCAAATTTATATGATTCTTTTTTTCAATTTTGAATCAGTTTAGATTTGTTTCGAGTTGGCTTTTTAGTGGGAGAATCACATTTTTGCGTTTATACCTAGGCGTTCGTACTTTTTTTTATAAGCGTTGGCCTAACAACCGGGCGTAACGTCAGCTTTGGTGATAAGATCTCAAAAGCCGTCAACACTTCGGGTGTGATTTGTCTAGTCCAACTTTCTACGTGAGCATGTGCAAGTGACGAAAAGTTGGGGACTTTTTAAGTGCTTTCCATGTAGTAACCACCTCAACAATCTCCTCGTTGTTTTGAATACTAATTGAGCTCTTTAATGAATTTTGCCCTAAGACCAGTTAGGAGTTCGTTAGCTGAGCCTTATCATTGCTCCGAGACTGTGTGATCTTCATGATGAACTACATTTTTCAAGTGGTCGACGTAATTTTCTTTATTATTTTCATTCATTCCCAAATGTTCAGTTGTATTTTCGAATTGTTTCGAATTGTTGCTTTACTGCTCGTTCACTGCGTCATTTGTAAGAGGACACGGGTAATAAATTGAAAAAGTCATTGTTACTTCTTTATCTCAAAGCTTTCGTGAAATAGGGTATTCACATAGTTCAGCAACTGTAATCAATACCGATTTTTCTAGAATGAAAACTAACCCTCGTACGTTTTGTTCATTTGAAAATGTGAAAAAAGTACCACCTTAGCAAGGGGTCTCTATTCCTCGGTAAATCACTCCCAAAGAGTATTATTATTATTATATCAAATGGCTGGCGTTTTGATGGTTATCATAAGCCCTTTAGTTGACTTCAGGCTCAACATCAAAGTCACAAAAAGTCGAGAGAGGGACAGAAAAATGATTCCCAAATGTAAAAGGAGACGGGCAGACACAAGGGCAGAAAAAAGGTAAGATGAGCACAATGGAAGTGGTGGAATGTGACATACAGTGGGGTCATGGTAGTTTGAAGTGAGATGTCAACTGCCGATTAATAGACTTTTTTGCGTAGGAGTATACGTTGCCCAGGATGTACCACGTGGAGGCAAATCTATCACATACCCCACTCTCTAAAAGTAGAAAAGCAGTCAATTGGGATATTCCTGTCTTGTCACCAGAATTTTCACGTAATTTCAAGATATTTTAAAACTGTTTGACTGAAGATTAGGCTTGAATCCAAAATGGTAACAATTGTGCAAGGGCTTATCTTTAGAAGCCAATTCAATTAAAAATTTGTTTTCTTGATGCACAAGTTTACATCCAAACGGATCAAGTTTAAAATCGATATTTTTTAATCTCATAGAATTGGATGATCTAACTAATAGGGACACAAATTGCTTTTTACTTCATTTTCCAAAATAAATTTTACCTTAAAACGACTTTATTGCATGTGCTCTATTTGTGAGTTATCGCAATGTTCCAGCGCTTGGGTCAACTCGAGGCAAATAGCATAATTATTGAGATCATAAATCGAGTGAGTTCACTGTCCACGAGCTGCCTCTTATCTCAAACCTCGGTGACCTCACCTCATATCGGGTCCGAGAATGGCCCTTTTATTACCTCCCCCCCTCCCAGCTGGGGTGTGTGTGTGTTATGTTCCAAGTGGGAGTGTATTTTGCCCAAAAGTTGGGAATTCATGGAGATCAAATCCATAATGTACGCTAAGTTTATTTAAATGAACTCAGATGATAAAACACGAAATATGCGCCTCAATAAAAAGGAGCTCTATGAAAAGTAAAATAACAAACATTTGAAAAGAGAAACAGCACAATTGAATTCCTTATCATCAATGACTTAGGTATTATCAGAATGCATGTAATGAGATCCATAATCTATGCAGTTGGTTAAATTGAAAATTTCGAATCAAATAATGGACTCACTCAAAGGGTCAACTACTTTGGATACTTCATATAGTGAGGATTTGGTAATTAGGAGATCAAACTCCCTAATCCGGTAATTTTTAAATAGTCCAAGTTGAGATTGGCTCTGTTTTTTAACTTAAGGTGATTACAGCTACTCAGTTACGTGGACACGTGAATGGGAGCACTAGGAGTTATTGAACAATCATCATTCTCTTGACCTTTCATTGTCCGAATCATTGAATACGCATCTAACGCAAGAAGAATATTGGATTGTGGTGTCACAAGCACCTTTGAATTTACAGATCTATTTGTTGGTGTAAGCTGCAAACTTACAAAAATTCACTCAGTACATAGGAAAAAAAGGCCTAGAATTAAACACTGAAAAATAGAAATTGAAGCTTCTGAATGTATAACCGAGGTTAAAGGCGTGCAACCTAATTCTAAGTGTTGCATTCCATAACACTTTTCAATATTATTACCTGGGGTGTGCGAGAGACTTACATCCACGTGGTGCATCCCGGGTGACGAATACTCATACGGCAAAAAGTCTATAAACCGGCATATAAATTTTGACTTCAAAGTACCATGAACCCCATTGTATGTCATATTCCACCACTTTCACAATACTCACCTTACCTTATTCTCTATCCCTGTGTCCCTCAGTCTCTTTTGCCTCTGTGAATCAGTCTTCTGGTCCCCCTCTCTACTTGTTGTGACTTTGATGTTCCTTCCCACTGTGAGGTCCGAAGTCAACTGAATGGCTAATGATAACTATCATAAAGTCCGCCATTTGATATAAATATTGATATCTGCCTCAGCTTGACCTCCTACACTAATTTGCTTTCTCACAGTGCAAATATTTTTCTTCACTTCGTATATGGCGTATATGTATTGTTTTTGGCTCCATCTCCAATACCCTTCTAAGCAACTCTTATCTTAACTTTCTATCTTTAAACCAGGGTTTCCAAGACGTTTTCACTTAATGTGATAGGCAAACATTCTTAGACTATGGTTCCTATGGATAAAGCACTAGGGATACAACTCATTACCACTTTAACTATTTAGAAGGAAAACAAGTTAAGATATTTTGGGATATTTAATTGATAGTTGTACTCCTTGTTTGATGAAATTTCCAGATATAGAACAATATGATGAATTAAAAGCAACAAATCCTACTGATTGGTGTGATCACGAAGTAGATACCAAAAATTCTCTTCTCTTGATAATTACATGATTTGAATATTCTATCGATCGTAATGTAAAATAATCATTTACAGCCCAATTTTGGAAATGAAGGTTTTGAGAATACTAATAATCACAAATGAATGCCTGTCTTCATGGTCTTATTTATTTGAAAATTGGCAAAGGATATAGCTTTTGGTGATAACAACTCAAAATATGACGTTTCATTCACTTGCATTCAGCTCACCAATCAAAACCTAGCGCTATAATGCACCAATCCCGCTGCAGATACAATGAACCAATCACACAATCCGCATTTTGGACCTACCAATCAGTAGTGTTTGCGATTTTATGAGCGTGTCTCGAACATTATAATGATCTCCCATAGAAAATTTGAGCATAGTAACGCAATAAGTGATTGGGAAGGAAGATGACAAACAACAGCAACAATACTTCATCAACCCTCTCTGATTACGGGAGTTTCAACCCTACTGTCCCTTTTCATACTCCAAATTTATTTGAGTCAAATACCATCACCACAGCAGCAATGCTTCAACATCATCACCATCAACAAATTATCTTCCAACAGCAACAACTTCACCAACAATCATCATCCGAATCCATGAGTTCTCCTACCTTTTACCATCTCCAGCCGCAGCAAATGCAAAGTTCTCTTGGTCATCAGTCAGCTTTTACTTCTCTTAATACTCCAAGCGATTCCCTTAACTGTAAGTAAATTGATTTTCTTCTTCAACCTGTTCCTAAGTAATTCATAAGGCCGTTTGTTGAATCGTTTGATTTTTTGTTCTGAAGGTCGAACTTGTTGCCTAATTTCGCAATTGAAACAAGTTTGTTTATGGGCGGTCATGTGATCATGACTTTTTCGACTGATTAATTTACTCTGATTTCCACAAATTACCAATCTGTTTGGAATGTGAAAAGGAAAATCAAATTACCTCAATTGATTTGTCAACTCTTTTTATACAACATTTTCTTGGTGTATGTTCAAGTTCTTAGGATGAAATAGTTTGATTTGGCACCTTGATTACTCAATCTCCGGTGTTTATCAGTGGGTGGTTTTTAATTGCCGTGGTCGACTTTGAAGAGAGCAAATTTTCACTAACAAATTGGGGATTAATTCTACATAGTCTAACATAAGTTAAGTAAAATACCATTTTCATAGCATGCTGACTTAACGCCATGACAAGGGAGATACTAATTTTTTAATCTTATTTATAATTGAGGGGTAGCCGGTGCAAATAGATGTTGAATTGAGATTTCAATCAGTGTATTAAAAGTAGTATTCCAGGTGTGCAATTCCACTTAATCATGCACGATTCCGCTCATCCCACCCCCATCGCCCCCCCCTTCCACCCATTGACCAGGTGTGATTTTGAAAAAATAAATAACTAAATCCCATATTCCCACTTCCATTTAATTAGAAGTCGTAAGTGGTTGTGATTAAGTAGCACACGTGGATCTTATTCTTTCCTAAGAGGTAACAAACTTTTAAACCAATCTAACGACCATCGCACTATTTTAGATCATTGCCTAGTTGTCTATTAATAAATCCAAACTTGAGAATAATGCAACAATCATTACGAGTAATGATTACCACATCACATTCAACCGATTCGAAAACTCTCTCTCTTTAAGTACTCGATTTTTCAAATGGTTAGGACCTTTAAAACCTGATTTTGTGGAACTGTGAGGGAGAAGAACTGCAAATGAGACAAGTGAGAATGATTTGCGTGAAATTTTTACGGGTGGTGGTTGGAACGGAGAACAGCAGACGTTTAGTACCATCTGTCGGTGAATGCGCCCCCCCCCCTTCTAACTCAACCATGATGCTGTGAGTTTGAGCTGACAGATGTTCTCTCCCCTCCCCTCCCCCCCCCCCTCCCCACTCTTCCCATTTACCAAGGTAAAACGAACGGGGTGGGGGGATGAGGGGGAAATGGCAAACTCAAAACTTTCTCCCTAAGGAAAATCTCCCACAATGTGAACGTGAGAGCATTCTTGAGTCCTTTAAATAATGACATAATACTGTTACCTGTTGTTTTCCAGATTTCGAGGATCAAGGTGTGACAGAGGCCTTAATGAATGACCAACGAGTTGGAAGAAAGAAACGCAGGGGACCTAAAAAGAAGCCTCTGACTAAAGAAAGGGAAGAACGAATGCGCAACCGACGGGCTCGAGCAAATGACCGTGAGAGGAACCGTATGCATGGATTGAATCGAGCGCTTGAAGCTCTACGTCAACGCATGCCTGTTTTCGCTGCGAATCAGCGTTTAAGTAAGATTGAGACATTGCGATTGGCCAAAAATTACATTAGGGCATTGACAGACATTGTACAGAGTGATAATGGGGGCTGTGAATCGCAACCGGATTCCCTAAAAATGGCCCTTACCTTAACTGAGGGATTATCTCAGAATACGACAAATTTAGTTGCTGGAGCGCTGAAAGTTAGCCCCAGGGTTCTTCTACAAATGCAACAGAAGAGAACTGCCAGTTATGGTACGAGTGGCGTTAGTATCTGCGATGACAGTTCCAGTAGTAGTTTAACTCAGCAAGACAGCAGCACCGCAGTAGGAGAATCGGAGTACTACGCCTCAAATCAATCCTTCTTTCCCCCAGAAGGGAATGTATGCATCCCGTATGATATTCCCTTTCCTCATGGCTTTCTGCCTAAATGAATTCCTTAACTCAGCCCCCCTCCCCCCCCCTTCCTCCCAATCCCCAACCCACAATCCAGCATTCTTCGATTTGATGACAGTCTACGGAGAAGGTCTTATATAATCAGATTGATTTTTTCCTCCTATTAACCCCAATACCCAGTGGTTTGGACTTTTATTTTTGTAAATATATTTACTTAATGGGTGGCATTGTTCTTGATAGTTGGAGAGAAAATGCATAACGGTCCCTCTGGTGGGGTAACGGTTGAGGTGATTCAAATGAAATAGCTCCGTTGGTGTAGATTTTCAACAATTAGTGCTTACGTTTACATTTCACCTCCTTTGTCATGTTGAAATACCTACGCACTTAAATATGTAAAGATGACCTAAAAAGGAGTATTTAGGAAGTGGAACAGAGAGTCAAGGGAACAAGGGAGAGCTGATCTTCAGATTTATAGGGATGTGCGATAGATTTTTCTCTACCTGGTGCACCCTGGGCAACGTTTACTCATACGGCAAAAAGTCTATTAACCGACAGCTGACTTCAAACTACCATCACCCCACTGTATGTCATATCCGACTACTTCCACAGTACTCACCTCACCTTATTCTACTTTTTTCTACCTTCGTCTTTGAAACACTCTTCTGTTCCCCCCCCCTTCTCGACTTCTTTTACTTTGGTGTTCCTTGTCCTTTGTGGAGCCTGAAGTCAACGAAAGGGCTATTGATAACTTTCAAAAACGCCAGCCATTTGATATAAATCTTCATCTCTTTTATGAAGTCTCTCCTTCCTATGGAAGGTAGGCTTTTCTAAAATTGCGGAGCTGTCTTCTTTTCAAATATTTGTTGTGGCATTAATCCTCTTGATAATGAAAACCACCTGTTGGTAGAATACCCTTGCCGTCACGACGAACGATTTGTCGGTGCCAAGAATCCATGACACCGCGGTAGCACAGCTGTGATTGTTGTACAATAATACAAGAAATAGCCCCCTCCCCTCGTCATACTTGGTCAGCGTTTATTTAATTACGCCATTTTCCACTCCCTCGAAATCCAGCACATGGGGCCCAAAAAATCTTGCCTTGAGACTCTATTCGTTTAATTAGTAAACACGAATCTGATTCGATACCAGTTTGTCGTTTTGTTAACGAAGGAAACGCGTCTTCGTGATGCGTTTGAAAGCCTATCAAAAGGGTTTATCTGATTGTTTAGTGAAGTCCATTCCACCACCATACAAAGTATGTTACTATATGCTACTAATATGCTTCAGTAGCATACATTCTGTCAGACAATCCGTTCAATGTATAGCTGAAGCAAGCCAACAATCACCATTTCAGTCCCACAAATTTAGCAGGTGGTAGAGCAAGCAGGTTCAGCCAGCTGATTCTGTTGATTCAAGTGGAAAATTGGAAACTATGCGGCTAATTCGATTCAGTGATTTCCAATTATCCTCTTATAATCTTTCCATTCAAACAGGTGAACAACGGCTTCGTTGTTAGGCAAAGTCACTTTAAGCTCAAGCAGTGGTCTTCCGTGTTAGTCATCTTGGTTTAATAAAATTTCTCATGTCTGTTTTGCAAAAAAATAGTCACCGTTTCCCTACAGAAACGTTAACTAATTGTGTAAACTTGGGTGTATTTGCTACTCTTTGTCTTTCGGAGATAGATTAATAATTGATTTCTAAAAATTAAAAGTCAAATTGAGCAAAAATAATGAATTTAATGTACACCCATGACCACTTAGTTACTTGAGGTGATCTTTAAAAGAAACGCAAGTGGATTTCCACGAAGGAAAGTTTGTATTTACTTTCATTTTAAAGTCTTCTGTTGTCTTCTTAAAGATTCGGATGGTGGTATATATATATATATATATATATATATATTTCAAATGACAGGCGTTTTGATAGTTATCATTAGCCCTTTAGTTAACTTCGGGCTTCACAGGAGGAAGGAACATCAGGGGTAACAGAAAGTCGAGAGGTGTGGCACAGAAGAGTGATTCACAGATGTAATAGAGACAGACACAAAGGTAGAGAAAAGGTGAGATGAGTACTGTGAAAGTTGTGGAATATGGCATACACTGGGGTCATGGTAGTTTGAAGTCAGAAGTCAATTGCCGATTATTAGATTTTTTTGCCGTATGGGTATGCGTTGCCCAGGGTGTACCACGTGGAGGTAGGTCTATCACACACCCCAGGCTCAGCCGGGATTTGAACTCGGGTGGAGGTATATATTAATTGCCTCGAAGACGTAAGTTTGAATGAACTTTTGCGTTCTATTTACCTGACAAAGGCACTAGTCAAACCAATCAAATCAAGGGATGCTTGACGGGAGGTTTGAAAAAAATTGGCGGTCTCATAAAGAAAAAAAGAAAATAGTTTTTCATATTGCAACACTTAGTATGTTTGAAATAAATTCACTAGGCAAGGAAATTGCACAATTGCAAGCCGGATTTACCCAAAATAACCTCCAGTAGAACGGTATTTGAACCTGAAGCAAGTTGTTTTTGCACCTCCTTCAATCTCTCCATAAATTTGTTGGCTTTCGGCCGTTTTGCACGACGATTAGTACATTTCTCGATTGTACCCAACACATGCTGCTTAGTTCTTCGAATTAAGATCTTGGGGTGGAGGGGGGGGGGGAACTCAGGAGGGCGTGTCAGGTGTCGGATCCCGTTCTGCAAACATGTGACCTATTACGGGCTACCAACCAGGACTTGACTACTACAGTGATCAGGAATTCCAGGTGCGCATTGAAAATCAATCTAGGACCCCCCAGAATAATGCTGACCATAGAAGTAGATGCATTTGAAAATTATGCCAATTCGGACAAATTTAGGTAATATGAATAAAGGAACACCCAAATAGGCCATCTGTTTTCAACGTACTTTTCTTTTCATCTTTGTTAAGCCATTTCTTCTGAGAAAAGGTTATTGCGCTTTGCTCAGAAGTCACTTTGCCTTTCTTTTTTGAGAAGTCGATCTCTGTGACGTTTATTTGACTATCAGTCGAGAAAGTTTTTATTGAACGCAAGCTCCATAGCAGAGTCTCGAACATCCAAGTAATTGTAGCGACATAGTCCTAATTTCGATGCCAGGGTGTCAAATTTTCGAGGAAAACTGTTGTGCATGAGCAATCAGGTCAAATCGTTTTGCATGCTGTTTTCTTCAAACCTCAGCAGCATCGTAGTCTCAATTGCAATTCTCCATTCCATTCAGTATTGTACTCTCATAGTTCTCTGAAAGTGTTGAACAATTACCGCATTATAAGTCAAGAGCTTATTTTATTCCAGGATTCCGGGTAGGGGGAGGGTGGGGGGCAGTCGTTCCATCTCGTTCCCATTAGGCACATGAATAAAGAACCGTTTAAATTTTCAAAGGAAGTGTCGTTTGCCTGAGCACCGTTAACATATCTGAAATAAAACATAAATATATCAATCTCTATTTTTTCCCTAACATCCTGCAATTATTTCGATCAATATTATTGATTCTTAAAAGTACAATGACTAAGCGTCGTACGTTCATTTTATCTATTTCTATACCAATGTTCATTCTTCTAATGGAATTCTGTATCACAATGTATTTAATCTTAACGGGTACTAAGCTAGTATACAAATAAGGACTTTTACTCAATAGGGAGCCATTTATTGAGATTTACAGGAAATCAGATTAACACGAATACGCGATTAATTTCGAAACAGTGGGCAAATCGATTTGATTTGCTTTGAGATTCATGAGGGGGGAGGGGAAGTATGAGCCATCATTCATAGCGATACCATCTGTTTGGAAATTAACCAATCGCGAACTTGAGCTCTGGATTTTTGCCCGGCAGATGTTTAACTTCCATCTACTTCTCCCCTCCCCCCCCTCCTCCTCCTCCCACTATCCCACCACCAAGGCAGAGGTTTAGTGCGGAAGTTAGAAAGGCTAGGAAGGAGAGAATAGGACTCAAGAATCAGTATTTGATTGAGACTGAGTGGCAGTGGAGCAGTAATATACGGAAATCTTCACGTCTATTTCGGATAAAGTGAAGAGGAGACCTTATTAACAAAGATTCACTTCTCATGAGTTCATTTTGCTTGCTTAATGAATCCATCTCTGAACTTCTCTATAGATCAAGTAAGAATGAGTTAATCGTACAAATGGTTGGTTAGTCAAGGATTTGTTGCCAAGACAACCAATGATCACAAGGGCTTCAAATTATTGGTAAAATAATGGTCAGGTGTGTTTATGCGTCTTCAATTCGATGGTGAACTAAGAGGGGAATTTAAACTAAATATTTAAAATAAGATATATTTCAATGCAAATTTCCTAAAAAGTGGGTATCTTAAACCATTGCTAAACATTGTGCTTTCGAACATTCCATAAGGAGCAATTTCAATGCTTTATTGCACTATTTTTGTGAAAATACCTTGAAGATTGGGTTTTACACTTTCAGAGACAAAAGCCACCCAATTTCTTGACCGTTTTATAGGCCAAATGGATTTGCTTAAGCTTTACAGCGATTAAAAGCCAAAGTCTACTAATAATAGTAATAAGAAATGTCGTTCTTTCGGATATTTCTATTCGACAGAGTAACAACAGAAGGAACATTATTTTCAAAGTCATGTACCCATACTTTTATAAATATATGCGATTTTCTTGATTTATCAACCGCCAATTATAAAACGTGAACTAAATCCCAACCAATCATCACTGTGTACGCAAAGGCGCGTATTCCTTCCTCTGAGCATTTTAACCAATCATATTTTGAAGTTTTGCAAATTCGAGCATAGTTAAGATATTATACAAATTAACACTATGCAACCTTTTTAAAGGACTCAAGACATGTTAACTGCCAAAGTAAATATAGGAAATAAAGGGTTGATTAGTAGGCAGCACAATTTTTTCATCATATTTTAGTAGAGAACCGTCAATTACAAGTTAAAACAGCAGAGTGAATCCATTTAGTAATATAAATAAACATAGCTTTAACTAGTAAAAATGATTGCATCTTAATAACGAAACCTACAGTGATTCCTTTA